CAATCTGGAAAGTGTTTTTCTTTTTCTTTCTTTCTTTCTTTCTTTCTTTCTTTCTTTCTTTTCTTTTCTTTTTTTTCTTGGTGTCCTTTCATCTCTCTCTCTCTGAATATTTTCTGCTAGCAAATGCAATCAGGAGTATGATTAGGATATGCAGAGTCCAGTAGAAGAGAGTGGAGGAAGACTTCCAACAGAGCAACCACGGACTCAGATCTAGTCCTTTTTTATACTGTACAACTAGCACATCAGGGAGACAAAGGAGAGAGAGAGAGAGAGAAGGGTCACTGAAGTAGTCATCTCACACAGCTTCATCATAGGGCCAGACAGGAAAGAAGAAGTGCTACTGGGATTCCTTGAGATCTTCTGGACTATAACTAATAGAAATCCTGGCTAGCACAGCTAGTGGTGAAGGCCTCTGGGAATTTTAGTCCAAGAACATCTGGGGACCCATGGTTGAGAATCACTGAACTCAACTGCGCTTTACACCTGAGGAAGCTATGCATCAGGGCATACTCTGAAACAGACATGCACAGAACTGACCTGTGCTTTGTATGCCTAACTGATCTTGCAGTGAGGCTTACTCATAAGTAGACATGTTTAGGCTAGATTTATGTTCCGTGAGAAAACTGGTAACAATTGACGCCACTTACTTTGCTTGAGTCTCACCCCTTGTCCTTAGGTCTCCCCATGAGATATGGTCCTCTGGACCTTGATTCATAATAATTTGGGGAACCCCTTGAAGTAGCAATGTGCTTTCTCCAACTGTCATTGATATTCTGATCATTTTTCTCCTCTCCCCTGCTCCATAGCGCTCCCGTTTTGTCTTTTGATTCAGGGAAACTTCACTTGTTATGCCACATTTCAGTGACAACTATACACTTCTCAGGGCAGAGGCTCTGCCTTTACTTATTTCCATTAGCTGTCTTACATACCTGGGGGTGCTAAGAGACAAGATATCATAGTGCTCTATAGAGATGCTTACTGACTTTATGATGATGTTTGCTGATACAGCATCTGCGTAACTGTAAGACTAAGTGGATGATTCTGTAATTGTAAGCATTTACAGCACGTTTGTTTTAATAAGAAATGGGCAACATTTGAAGGGTTTATTCTTCCCATGAATTACATAATAGTCACCGTCAAACAAATTCTTTCTTGTCACCTTGACATTTACCTAGATAATCAAAAGTTGAATACTTAATAATTTTAAAAGCAAATATAATCTTTATAAGCAAACATAAACCACACAAGTGGTACTTATTAAAATGTTTATATTCTGACACAGCTCCCCAAGCATGAAACACATGGAACTTTACTCTGGAGCACATGCAACAGCATCTGACAACAGTCAACATTTTAAAGCAAACCCACAATTTAAATAACCACATTATTTATAATAGATTCTATGGCAGGAATCCTGTTGCACAGCTGTGCAAATGACATAACTTTTAGAGGTGAATTGTCATAGATTCAGAAATTTTGATAAACCTTATCTGTTGCACACTGATTTGCACAGCCCTGTATGTCTTCAGAGATTTAATTTATGGCAGTTTGCTTCCAAAAGCTGTGCCATTTGTATGCACAGGATTTCAGCCTGGATTCATATCTGAAAATTTATAATTGAGAACATATTAAAAGCACATCACAGGATACGAGTTCTGTGTGTATCTACCCTGAAGTAGAAAAAAAGTATGTTGTAGTATTGTGAAGTACATCAACCTGATCAAACAATACACTAGGTAGAGTACTGAACTGCACAATCCATTTGAAGTAGAATAGAAACAGGGGTCATTTTTGGTATGTTTAATCAGAAACAAGTCTGTGTTCAGTGGACCTTACTCCCTACGTGTTGAAAATGATTGCAGTTTTAATAGATACGGTATTATAACATCAAACATGCTACATGAGCCAATGAATGCCTATTACGAATATTCAGGTACCTGCTACATCATTGCAAGGCGAGCCTTGGGCCATAGGTCCCTTACCCTGAATAAGTAATAGGCACCATTTGTTCCTTGCTTTAGGAAACAAACTACAGTACTTGTATCACAGACCTCCTAGAAAACTATCTACCAACATCTTAGCACTCTTCCTTCTAGATGCTTAGAGCGGGAAACAAGGAGTAAGCCCCTTTTATTGCCATTAGTCTGTGACATAGGTGAGCAGAGTTATTGACTGCTTCAAGTTCTCCTGAGGGGGCGTTTCCCAGCTGAACAAAATTTGGAATCAGGAATCCTCAAGTGAGTCAAGTCCACGTCCAATATTGTTTACATAGGAGCCTCAATGTCATGTTGCGGTTTTTAAAATGTTCTCTTGTCTCCTTATATATTAAATACACTACTCTACAGATTCCTTCCAGACAAGACCAGATAGCCAGGCTGAACCATTCCTTAACAGTCCTTAAACATGCAGATTGTGAATATGATGGATATATTAAAACTCAGGCGCCCTTCCAGGAAAAGAAGAGAAAGTAACGATTACCCAGGCTGGCCCGCAATACACAATAACAGAGTAGGGAAGCGCTCACAAGGAGCAGGTCTGAGTGCAAGTAACGCCTCAGGAAAGGAGCTTTTCGGGGGAGACTCGGGGTGTGCCTCGTTGCTGATCCCTGTGAAGGTTCGGCCAAACAAGAGAAGGGAAAGGTTTCCCCCTCGCGCAGCGCTTTCTTCTGGTTCGGCCGCCGGGGAAGCGGGGGGGGGGAATAAATAAATAAAAATAAATAAAAGAGCCTGGCACCCCTCGTTTTCCTGCGACTAGGTAAGCCGCGAGCGAACGAGCGTCGGGGCGGGGCGGGCCCGGCTTCTCCTCCGACCACCTCGGGGCGGGAATATGGAAGGAGGGCGGCGAGGCGCGCGTGACGCGCTACCTGCTCCTCCTCCGAACCAAGCACACACACGGAGAACAAAAGAAGAATTCTTTGCACAGGTTTGTGGGCACAACAACCTGGGGCTTGGCAACTTCCCAAGCTCTGGCTCCAGACTCCCTCCTCCTTCGCCTCCTCCTCCCGAGGGACTAGCACTTTATTTATTTATTTACTTAGTAAATCGGTGGATGCCTCGATTGCCCCTGAAACAGCTCAGTGGGGGGGGGGGGGAAGAAGCGCTCTGCACATGCTTTGCAGGGTTTTCTCGCTGCTTATCAGCATTTGCAGGATTGGGCCCCTGGCTTCCTCATCTGTTAAGACTTGGTGCCAATAGAGGCCTCCTCCGATTGCCCTTTTCCTGCTTCTTATTTGAAAAGGGCGGCGTGGAATCGCGGATCGTTTGTTTATGTGGGCCGGTACCACGTCCCGAGTTCTCTATAAATAAGGTTATTGCAGCTCCAGTTTTTCCTCCCTGCCTTTCCTTCTGTTGTTTGACCCCCAGCTCATGGCGAGGAGGAGCCACGAAAACAAAAAGTTTTTCAGATGGATGTTCCTCTGGCCCTCCCATACAGCTGTGCATTTCTAGACAACCTGTTGTGTCTCCGTTGCCGGGTGTTCCTCCGACCCCTTCAGCTGTAAGGACGCTCTTTTGCTCGGCACACTTGCATAGATGAGGGTATGTTTCGGATTCCCTTGGTAGACCAATAAAAGCCAGTTTGTGTTGGGGTAACGTAGCCCTGCATTCTGGAGTTAATCTGAAATAATTATTCTTGCTTTTTTGCTTACAAATAGGGACTGGAATCTTCCCTTGTTATATTAACGTGCGTTGGCTGAAAGACTTGGGGAAAAAAAATCTAAACTCTTATTCTGTTTGTGTTAAAGAGAACTTAATGCTCATCAATTAAATGCCAGGATCAGCCTAAGTCTGCAGTGAGGGGTTCGTACCCCATTTTTTCCTTGTAGTATAAGATCAGGATAGTACTGCACATCAAGAGTTCCAGTCAGAAGTGGTTGCATATCTGAGGTTGTTCTGTCTGATCAATGTACAGTTGGCAGGCATGGCTTTAAATAAAAATTCTAGGGAAACAAGGCCGCCGTAGCCCTTTTAAGAGCTCCTCCTTAGTCTCGTCTCCACATTCCCCCGCTATCCTCTTGGGTATTTCTTTGGAACTGTTACAGGATCCTTCCTACAGCATTTCCAACTTGGAACAGCTGGGAAACTATGTCCTCTGCTAGCAACCCCTGGTTGGTATTCAGCTGCCAGCCAAAACTCTGCAATATCCCATTCCCTTTAGTCTGACCTCCCCTCTTGGGAGTGAGTGGGGAGAGAGAAAACTATTTGCACTTTCCCATTCAGACTGACTCCCCCGGGCATCATAAGATATACGGCAGACTCTTCTCCATTAACTACCAAAGACTCTCCCACACTCATTGCAGCAGGTACTTGGGCTGAATTCCCAAGAAGGATTATCTGATTTCATCAAAGCCTGATCTCGGTTACCCTTTGGGGCAATCTGATATGATACACTTTCTGGAAGAGATCCCTTGCCTTTGGGGAGCCTGCAAAAACCCTAAGATATCAGTTCTTTAGCCACCAAGTTAGAAGGTCTGCCATGGGACTGTGCCAGTAAAAACCCCAGTAAAATTTATGGGTGGGGAAATTCAAAAACATTGAAACAATAATCAGTGTGCATTAATCACATGCGGTCATGTTTGTTAGGCATATAGTAACTCTGAAGATCAGAAGAGTTGGTTTGCATAATGAAGGTTCTGCAATGCCTAAACATTAGGTTGAAGAGCAGTCATATTTTTGTATATAAGTTCTCAGGGGTATTAAGAGACTGCATGAATTGTCCTTACCCAGACAGAACCCCTAAACCAGAACCAGAATGCTTGTTTTTGTTTGTCTAAAAATTAAGACTATGATCTTACACTTCCTGAGAAATAAAGTACCATGACTTCCAAATAAACATGCATATAATTAGTTGCATAGCTGTCAGTTGCTAATAGTAAACATTAGGTTCAACAACTCATATTCTAGGAAGCAGAATTTCTTTAGCTGAGATGTTCAGATTTTAAAAATCAGGACATAAGTATACTTACATTATTTCATGTTTTGTTAGTTCATTACAGTACTTACCTCACTGCTGATGAGTGGCAGGTACCAGAGAGACACGAAGAGCACTCCGAAATTCATGCCGACTCCAATCCCCAGAAGTTCCAGGCACATTGAAGGAGAGTAGTTTTTTAAAAAGAAGAAATAAGATTCCTATTCTTCGGGGCACAGAGGTGAGAGAGAGTGCATCTGCTTTTAGTCTGTGTTGTATATCATGCTCAAGGGATTCTGTGCTCTTTCATTTCTCCCCCAAAGACTTCTGATCTTCTCCAAAAGAAAACCCAAGGTGTACTAAGTAAAATACCTTTTAAAGGCCCTAAGGAAAAGAATAATAATAATTTTTCTGCCTCTTCTGTAGAGGAGAAAAAACATAAGTATATAAAAAATGGGAAGTTTTCCTCAACAAAAACTTGCACATTTGAAATGGATCTCTCCCTCCATGCACTTCTTTTGCACAAGAAGTCTCTCAGTATTTATTTCCCTTTGATTTTGCTGCCCACGTGAGCTCCGCTCTTTTCTTAAGATGAAAATATCTGCTGGCAAAAGCAAGGTTATTTTCAGTATTCCTTCCAAATGTTAAGCTTCACGATGTTGAAAACAGTAGAGGAAGAATTACGGTCTTCTCATCTCTCCTCTTTTTTTCTCCCCCTTTCACTTCTTAGATCGCTTCTTCCCTGCTTTCCTGTGTTTGATTTGAATCTCTTCCTTAAGTTAAATGAGGCTTCTTTCCAAAGAGCATTGGTAGCTTTGGTCGATGGGTGAGAGTTTGCGACAGGTGAAGAAATGACTCTGGTGGAGCAGTGGGTGTGGGTGCACGCGTGTGTGTCTGTGTGTAGTCTTGCGGAGCCTCGAGATATGAATTGCTGCAACTGCTACTCTTGTACCGTCCTGCAGCAGAAGAAAAAGAATAGCTCTGCTCCCTTTGGAAGAATGACAGGAGACAGCACTGTGGAGAGAGCTGGTTTGGGTCTCTAGTCTGTGAGAGAGTAAGGTGCGAGCATTTCAGTTCTTTCTTTTAAAGGAGAAGAGCAAAAGAGAAAGGGGTGGAGACGACTTGCAGCAACTCCTCTTGGCTATGAATCAAAGAGAGAGGAGGGGAAAAATAAGGCAGTTTTCAGTACTCACCATCTACTTTTCTTTAAAAAAAATCAATAGCAAACAAAGTAAGAATGCAGAAACTTTCAAACAGGAGAACCTGGGAAATTCTATTCCTTCAGGACAAAGGGAGGGAGGATGGTTCTTATTGGAGCCGAGTTGCACGGTGCTTTTGGCTGCTAAGGTTGTCTCTTGAAGCTCAGACATTTTCAGAGACAAGATTAATTTGTGTTCTTTCAGTTCTGCCACCTCAGTGGTTCTGGAAGAAGAGAGAGTTTTTAATATCTTTGATCTATCTATATATGGAGAAGAGAGCCAAGGAAATTTAAAAGTTGTTAGAACAGGATCAACATCACAGTTGGCACTTGGCATGACTCTCCGTGCTGGAAGGCATTTTGTTGCATGATAATTTCCACAATGTAATAAACATTCAAGCACTTGAGAGTTGAGCCAGCAGGTATTGCTGGGGAAGTAGGGGCAATTAGGTAATAGGTGCGAGTAAGACAAGAATCATCATTTTCTATTAAATTAACAGCAGAACAGCGCCATTTCCCCACTTACCTCAGTTGTGTTTAATGTTGAGTTTTCTCTCCTTGGATTCACATAGGGGTGATTCTAGAAAATTATAGTTGCCTGTTCTTATTATATATGGCTGGTTGTGCTGTTCAGTCCAAAACCTATCTGGCAAATCTCCAAGATCCTTCTCTGCTCTTTCTCTGTCTCAGACGTTTATATGCACCAGCCTGAGATTATGTAAATTGCCCTGAGAACAATTTGTTATAGGGCAACTAATAACTTGAATGAATGAGTTTGTTTTAAAATGAGTCAGACCATTGGTCTGTTGAACCCAGTATTGAGCACTCTGATGGTTCTTCAAGATTTTTCAAGGGGAGGGTTTTTTTATACATTGGTAGTTACATTTTTATATCTCACATTTCTTTCAGCCAGCTCAAGGCATCACACGTCTCACTTTCTGCTCCCCTCTTTATCCTGTGAGGTATGTCTGGCTAACAGAGTGACTAGTCGATGATTGCCTAATGGTTTAATGGAGACTTTTCCAACCTTTTTGTCTATAGTTCTTAAACTGGACATGGCAGAGATTAAACCTAACATAAATAAAACATACATTTTTATCCCAAAGCTATTGCTTTGCAATTTATGAGTTTCACAGTTTCTATGTTTTCTTATTATTGCTCCTTTGCCTTCACAAACAATTGTTTTTAGAACATCTCTCCTGTATATGTGTCTTCTGTGACAGCCTGTTAATGTGTAAGTCTGTCTCTAAGATGGGCAGAACTAGGAGTTCTGCATGAAATGGCTGTAAAACTGAGTTCTAGTTGTTTTCAATAAGCTAACTGTGTTTGTCTCAGTGCATGTAGGAAATATAAAAATCATCAAGTTGTGGCACCTTAAAGATTGCAGTTCAACTTCTTCAGATATATTGTGCAGAAACAGGCTCTCTTTGCCTAAGAAAATGGATTGCAATCTGTGAACGTTTACACTGAAATGAACTGATTTCTGAGGATAAATTTGTGGCTAAATGTGTACTCTGTGGCACCCTTTTCTATCATTCTAGTTGTTTGTCTCTGCCCTTTATATAACCCACTTATTGCATATGGTCCTGGATTCAGCTTCTGGGCTTTGGGGTTCTTGTAGAAAATACTATGAATTTGAAACCATATAGACCATATGCCAGTGCCCAGAGTTGATTCTCACAGGTGTTCTAGGGTTTCCTGATGCTTCTGAACTGGCTTAGTGCACTTCCTATTTGTGGAATTTGCACTGTGTTGTGCATGCACAGACATATGCATTTAATGCATCTCTCTGCATTTCAGCTGGATCTGAGCATTGTGTCAGTTCTGTAGAGCAGCCATTCTCAACTTTTTTTCCACCCATTGCCATAAACACAATATGAAAGAAATATAGGCCTAATGAGGATTGTATAAATTGCATAACAAACCTTATCAGATTGTGTGTGAAGAATTGTTTCCAGTCTGTGCCCCTCTTTAAATGTCCTAGGACCTCCCAGGGGGCCATATGGCCCCTGTTGAGAATGGCTGCTGTAGAGAATAACCTGGAAGCCGTAGCCATGATGAGTTGTTGCCAACCCCTTTTATTTGGAGGAAGAACCATGTATTGGCTTGTCTTTCATCTCTTCTGGAGATTTCACCTTCAGTGTTTTTTCCTTCATATATCTGCAATTAAATTCAAGAAAGCAGTGTCTAGTGGCTCTATTTCTTCCTCTTTTTGCTATGCCTGACAGGAATGAAATGACCAGGTCAGCAAACAGCACCCAGCTAGGAGGGACTGTGCATAGTGATTATACAGTATATCAGAGCTGCTGCAACAACTACTTCCAGATTCATAGTGACTGGAACTGGGATGACAAAGTGAATCCAATTCCTTGGGGATGGTAACAACTGGAGGCAGTATCACAAAGTGCAGTTGTTAGGGAGGGAGTGTCCTCTGCTGCTGGAAGTATGTTAGGTTCCTCAGACCTCTGCCTTGTTGTCTGTGGCTAGCAGCCCCTTTGGTTCTGCCTTGTTGATGTTCCCCAGGGTTTATACAAACAGCTTGGTGCAAGGAGTGGTTGTATTGTGACAAAAAGATCTTTGAAGTCATCTTGTGGCTCTTCAATGGGCATGAGTGTCGGTACTCATTCCAGGATGAGTTGGGTAGCAGAGCAGTGCTCAACCTGTTTGTTCTCTGGATGTTTTGGTGTCCCTCAGATGCCATGGCCAGTGGCCAGAGACTCTGAGGAGTTGTAGTCCAAAACATCTGGAAGAGTGACCCATTGATATTATATTTTGTTTTCACGCATGCAGCAGAAAAGGAACCATGATGACTCCCTAATTTAGCTTTGAGAAAACCTCATTCTGCTGTTAAAAGATGCTGTTGCTGAGCCCCACTTTCTATTCTGAGTCCTTCCACTTGTCATTTGGTGCTTTTTTATTTATTATTTTTGACCACCGTGTCCTTCAGCCAAAAATAATATGGGCAGTGATGGATTTTGAGCTAATATAATCAGGGATGAAATAAGAAATACTTTAGTTTAGATTATATGGTGGTTACAGAGAGGAGTTCTTTAGTCAGTTACATTTAAAGGCGAGTACGGTAAGACTATATGAGTATATGAACATCCGCCAAGTAAGCTCATTCATATACACACTATCCAAACAGTTCACTTGTTAATGGATGACACAGCTTTCCCATTCTCCTTTTCTGTCACACAGATTTAACCAGACACATGTTGGATTAGAATGTGTGCTCTAATTTCAGCATTATATTCCTTTGGGATTTAGAAATATGTTATACTGCATAAACTAAGAACCTTGTCAGAAGGCAGATATCTTAGGCTAAGCAGATGGCCTGTGGGTTTCAGCTGTAGCTAGCCATCAGCCAGCGACATCAGGATTTCATTCTGGTTAAAAAACACCCATTTAGGGCTGGGAAAGTAACTTTTTTGGACTGCATCTGGCTGAGAGGGTGCATAGAACTGTGGTTCCCAAAAGAGTATTTTAAAAGCTTTGCTCTGACCATTGTGGTGCCTCAGAACATTTACCCTGTGCATCTTGAAGGCCTCAGTACTGTCTGGCTTAGCCATTTGTTTCTCAAAAGGCTTTATTTTGATTAAATGTAGTTGATGTTACTCATAATGCAGAGGTCTATGTTGCCATTTGTATTCAGAACAGAATACAGGCCGCCATTACTGTGGGAGATCTGATAATGATGGCAAGCCATTTGATAAGAAATGTATTAGTAATGTAGAAGTGTTTTGGAAAAACTTAAATTACCTTTTTTCTTGACCTATTCACAAAGTGTTGGCTCAAATCCTCTTGTTTAGCATAGTAAGTAGCAGTAGAATAGGTCTATGGAATCAGCTGGGATTTAGAAATTCAATTCCTCTGTAAGTTCCATTGATTTGAGTGGGCCAACATTGCAACTTACTAAGCTAAAATAAATTTCAACCACATGCCCACCAATTCAGTGACAGTTTAGCCTTTGTTTACTTTGTCTGCAATGTCCTCCAGGGCTTCATGTAGTCTTTCCCAATTTTAAAAGGACTACATGAGATCCTCTGATTGCTTAGGAGGCTTTTCTCTCAGTCTCACTAACATCAAATTCTGGAACTAACCGTCAAGAACAGCTAGACTGGTACCATCTCAGTTACCATTTAGCTGGTAGGTAAATGTTTTCTTATTCAAAAAGGCACTTGACGTGTAAGATGATCTCCTATGGATGCAGGGTTTGAAATAGTGATATTTGTGACTTTTAACTCCATAATCCCGTAGTCAACAGAGCCAGTGACCATGCTGACTGGGGAATTCTGGAAACTGTAGTTCAGAAAAGTAACTTTTCAAATTTATCTGTCAGATTCCATTCTGGAATGCTGGAGCATAACTGCTTCATGGGTGGACTTTGCATGCCAGTTATGTGTTCTGCAGTTGAGTTGTGTAGTTGGTGTAGTTTAGCAGCAATGTGCACAACGGTGCTGTTATACAAGCGGAAAAGACAGGCTTCCTGGCTGTAATGGGGGTCTATATGATGACGTGCTGGCAGTATCTTTTCTTGTTGTGCTTGGTTGGTGTATTTATTTATTAACATAAAGGTGGGATGTATTAAATAAAAATAGATGGAAAAAATGAAGAACCAAATCAAGGACCTTCTCCTACAAATTGTGTGCTCTACCATCAATTTGTGGACCACCATTCTTAAAGAATAACAAATCACTAAGATGTCTTATGGGATAAAGCCCTTATTTTGTTCATTGGCACTTGTTGACAAGTTTGCTTGGCAGAGGAGATTTGCTGTGGAAAACATCAGCTGTGGTCCAAACATAATTTGTTAGGAAGCAAGTCTCAATTGAACTCCCTGAGCTGATTTTTTGAATCCAAACTACACAGGCTGCCAAACATTTCACATGAAGTTTCACATGTATTTTTGTATCCACGGCGTACAAGACGGGGAAAATTAGCCTGCTCTGTCACCCCCATGATTTGAATGGAAGTGTCTTTCGCACAAGCTGTTCCTTTGGACAGTAGAAGAGCTCCCACCCAATACTACATACTGAAAGTAAAGATACAGAAAAATTCAAATGCATTATTGTTTATAAACATACAGTATTTAGGATCTGGCTGGTAGAACGGATCCCGTGTATCATGTATAGAGATAGGCACACATCAAAGTCCCAAAAAGGAAGTTTGTCAAAAATGCACTGGTTTGTTGGCTTGGGTTGATTTGAGGTCATTGGTTTGGGTG